ATATTTGCCATCCAGCAGACTGGTAGCCTGCAATGTGAATATTTTTTATTGCATGGTTTTCTAGACACACAGTTGTTGTTTTTGTTTTGGGTTTTTTTTATCACAATACTATTCTGTACAGTGAAAGAAGTACTCCAATTCAATCTTGAGTTTGTACAATAGAAAGGTTATTCCAAAGTAGATCAGCACATCATCTCTTAACCATCCTTTTTTTATAGATCCAAAACAAATGTTACGCTTATCAGGCAAATTATTCCTAAAGTAGACGTATAGCCAAAATGTATTTTCCGGTTTACAGTAAGAAAATATTAGTACCTGCCTAGTAACATTATACAATCTAAAGGACTCAGACAGGGTCACATTCACCTTCACCGCCGTTGAGGGTTCGTTATAAAGTTCTTTTATCCATTTTAACATTTTTTCCTTATTCCTAGGACTTCCAGCGTATTGATCATGAACCCCCAATCTACTCTGTCAAAGGCTTTCTCTGCATCAATCGACAATATTTTGTTGGCTGTCTACTTCTCTTTGCTTTTTGCAAGAGGAGCAATGTTCTCAGTCCATTGTCCTTTCTTTCTCTTCCTGGTATAAACCCGACCTGGTCCAAATGTATCCATTCCGGCATCAGTTCCTTCACCCTAGTAGCCAATACCTTTGCAAATAGTTTGGTGTTGGTATTCAACAGTGATATGGGTCTATAATTAGCACATTGAGTACCATCCTTTCCTTCCTTGAGAATAATTGTTATATGTGCATGTAATGATTCCCTTCTCATTTCCTCTCCCTCTCCCAATGCATTCATATATCTGCAGAGTTTAGGAATCAGTAGCTCTTAAATTTCTTTATATACCCCACTGTATAACCATCTGGGCCCGGGCTCTTCCATACCACCGTATTTTTCAAAGTTTTCCTAATTTTTTTTTTTTACAAAAAAAAAAAAAAGAAAATATTAGACTCTGTGTCAAGTTGGCAGAAATGTGTGTTGAGAAAAGCATACCTTTGCAGAAGATACTATGATCATGCACCCTGCATGTGGGAAGCAGTATTATAGTGAATCCAGATGAGCCAAACTTTATCTGCAACCTTTGAACCCAATCTGGTCAGATTCATACATCATCTCTTGACTATCATCATACTTGCTTTATAAAATTATCTTAAAGTGGAAACCATTATTATTATTATACAGGATTTATATAGCACCAACAATTTTTGTAGCACTTTACAATATAAAGGGAAACAATACAGTTATGATATAGTTCAATACAGAATGAGAATACAGGAGGGCCCTGCTCATGAAGCTTACAATCTGAAGGGGGTGAGGTGGTATAAAAAGTAATAGCTGTGGGGGATGATCTGATGGAGGTGTTTGAAGTACAGTTTTTAGGTGAAGGTGGGGTAGGCTTCCCTGAATATGTGAGTTCTCAGGGAATGCCTAAAGGCAGCTAGTATAGGAGATAACTGGACATACCAGGGTAGGGAGTTCCAAAGGATGGAAGAAGTTCTAGAGAAGTCCTGGAGGGGAGCAAAATAAAGGCTAATACAATTTAGGTTAAAAACCTTGCATTCTGCCCCACCTGATACCTGATGCTGCTTATTACCTCTAAAGAATTCTGTGTAAAAAAACCTTTTATTACAACATCAGTGTGGCCACATGATCTGTAAGCTCTGTTTCCTATGTCTGTGCAGCGGATGGGAGGAAGCACTGACAACAGAGGGGCAATGGAAGCTGGTGGCAACTCCACCCCTGTTGTTGAGCCACTCACTGACACAGGGAGGGCGCAGCTTACAGATCACCTGACTGGACTGAAGCTGATAAAAAAAAATGCATTTACACAGGACTCTTTCACAAACAGTGTAGACATGAGGTTGGGGCATGCAAGGTTTTTACCTAAAATGTACTAGCCTTTACTTTCACTGAACTCTAGCCTTCTCTTCAGTCTTGTACAATTCTACACTACAGGCTCCTCTCCTGTACTGAATGTGCTTACTCTGATTTTACTGCAAACTGTGACCTTCTCAGAGTGTGCATTAGAAACTGCAAAAAATCAGATAGTGCCTGTCTCATTTCCTGTCTGGAGGATGTCCACCATTACCTTCTTCTTTTTAATTCAGATTTACTGTCCCTGGCCCACTCCTTTCATTCATTGGATTTCTGTTCTTTTTCATGTATATGTAGGAAATACCTAGGGAGACCTGTATGCAAATGTGACCTGCCTGTTGGCAAGTGCAGTTAGCTACTCTGCCACTACGTGGTTCTGTCCCAGAATAGTGTGTCAATGGGAATTATGTCATTTGGTGTTAGGACCCCTTTCAGAAGAAATCTTTCTGTAGTGATCTAGTGGGTAGAGTTATTGCCTTTATAAATGCCAGGATGGGAGAAGCCTTAGAGATTTGAGGCCCACACCACCCCAGAGCTATTTGGATGTAGTCAGCTACTGCCTAGGGCCCTGGACAGGGCTGAATCTCTGGGTGAGATAGATCAACACCCAGAAGGACCAGTTGTAGTCATCCTGACTCTTGTAAGGTCAGACGTGGACTGTGAGCAAGATGCAAAAGGCCTTTTAGGCCAGGCTAAGTGTCCTCTGACGTGAGCACTAGTACACTTAGGAACAAGTGCAACATCTGAGGGCTTGCCCGGCTGAGCCATAGAATGGGACAAAGAGAGAGACACTGGTAAACTGAACAAAAGCACATTGAATAGACTTGGTGACAGAAGCTGTAGGCTGTGGGCTTAGCATACATGGAGAAGAGGTCCCAACACTGTGGCGCTCCCAAGGAGATAAGAGAAATGAACGGAAGATGGCTTACAAGTTATATATTGGTGTACTGCGACCAAATGACTGCTACAGAATTTCTAGAGGAAAATGTGAATCCTTACATTTGGCCTATTGCAAGTTTTAGTACAGTATATAACTGGATAAAACTATAACTAAATCAGAAAGAGTCATACCTAAAATCTACTGATACTCAGCTGTGTAAAGCTTTTAGAGATTTCAATATTTAGAACTCAAGCATGAAATAGTGTTTCTTTGACATTAGAAACAAGCCTTTTATACACCAAGAAAAAATCATATTCCTTTTGGAATTCATGATCTTGTTAGAATCTTCATTTCATCGGATGCCAAAGGTCAGGAATTTCCAGCACGTTTCTCTACGTTATATAACATTCTAAATGAAGAAGGTATATAAATTTATGACCAGCTACAGGAACTTGGCAGATTTACCATAACGTCTTGCCAGATTGGCCAGCTACAAAAAAACTGATACCCTATCATAGTTTAATTTGACCACCTCTCGCAATTGCGTTGATTTATTGTCCAGAATTTAAGTTGCATTTTCAACACAAAAGTACAGTTAAAATTACTGGAAGCACGCTTATATAAGATTATAGGTTTTTTTAATTGTATTCTTTTAAGATCTAAAGGTAGGATGCTTTTTTTCCTGTGCAAAGGCACTTAGCATAAGCAACAACTCCTGCATGTGCCTAATTAATGACACTATAACCCCATAAATAGGAAGCTGGAGTCTTCCCACTACATCCTTATTTCACCACATGCTGTTACATGTATTTCACTTCATGGATTAAATTCTCCCTATTGTGCAAGCTAAGGATGAAAATTAAGTTGTGACTATTTACCCATTCATGGATATCTGTCTGAAAGCACTTAAAAAATACACTGTATTTTGAGCAAAAAGGAAAACCTATTACCATCCAGTTATTCTTTTGATACCCAACATGCAGCCAAAGAGCTGTTCGAAGAACCTTGGTATTTCCTGAGGAGACATTAGGTCCCACCAGCCTGTGTTTTCCTTGGCTAATTGGCTACCTTACCAGCACATGACCTAGAATTGAATGAGAAGAAATGTTTTTATATTGAAATTCTGTGAGTTGACCTCTGATGTAAGGAATGCCTTCCCCTCACTCTGCTCTTCCAATGAGTATTTCAGTAGCACCATATGTACAATTCATGAACTGCTATACCATACCAGAGTTCCCTGTAAGAACATTTATTTTGACTAAACATTTAGAACAGATCTTGTTGTGGGTAATATAAAATGTGCAAACAGTCATTTTTAGGGGACCTGTAGGGCTGAATACAAATTTAAGAGCATTGGTTTGTACAGGGTCTATAGTAGTGTAGCACACCTTTGGGTGATGCTTGGCTAGATATATAGATTCAGCTCCCTCCTGAATCTGGTGACTCCTCTGATTATACCCAGAACACTCCGACACTCTGAGAATATTTTTTATGGGTTTTATTGAAGAAGACAAACCCTGAAAAAGAACTAGCTGGTTTAACACAGGTAATGTACATAAAACACAGATACCTCTTTACATAAAACAGTTAATAAAAAATCACTCTTCACTCCCCAAAGACTCCAAAAACTGACTAGTATCACACTGACTAGGGTGGCACATGAGAGTGACATTGACACATGAAACAATACCTGTTAATGAGGTTAAGCAGCTTATTGACATTTGTTATAACAGTACTATCTAGAGCAGAAATATCCTACCTAACCACTGGCCAGTGGGATGAAACTTAAAGTCTCTCAACGTTGGGGCCCTTTAATCACTGGAAGAGCGCTCACTCTCTGCATGGGAGAGTATTTGTAATCCAGTGGTAGCAGGATAGCACAGTCTCCTTTAAGAAGAAACGTCCAGTGAACATTGCAATAGAAGAAAACAACACTTCAACAAAGTCTTTACCATACAGGTGAAATCTGATATATTAACACTTGCTCAGTATATTTATTTAGTTGCCGACCGCAGATAGCCGAATGACGGCTTCACTGCGGCCGGCTAGTTCTGGGTGGACGTCATATGACGTCCCCCCAGAACGAGCTCTCCTGCGCGCCCCAGGGGGCGCGCACCCGGCGATCTCCGTGATCGCTGTGTCCTACGGACACAGCTGATCACGAGATGTGGTAAAAGGCCGATCATACCGGCCTTTTACCACGTGATCAGCGGTGTCCAATGACACGCTGATCACAGGGAAATGCAAGTGCCGGTTCTCGGCTGCACTTTCCTCACGCTGTCAGATCGTAAGGAAAGTACTGCCGAGAACCGGCAGTTGTCAGAGCGAGGATCAGCACCGATCATCAGGGCCACTGATGATCAGTGCCCTGATGATCGGTGCCCAGCAGTGCCACCCACACGTTCCGCCCACCTGTGCCCAGCAGTGCGCCCACTAGCTCCACCCACCTGTGCCCAGCAGTGCACCCACCTGTGCCCAGCAGTGCACCCACCTGTGCCACTCTGCAGTGTCACACACCTGTGCCCAGAAGTGCCACCTACCTGTGCCCAGCAGTGCCACCCACCTGTGCCCACCCACCTGTGCCCACCAGTGCCACCCACCTGTGCCCACCAGTGCCACCCACCTGTGCCCACCCACCAGTGCTGCCCACCAGTGCCACCCACCAGTGCAGCCCAGCAGTGCTGCCAGTCAGTGCCACCAGTCAGTGCCCAGCGGTTGTGCCAGTCAGTGCTGCCAGTCAGTGCCCAGCAGTGATGCCAGTCAGTGCCATCTATCAGTACCCATCATCAGTGTCACCTATCAGTGCCGCCTATCAGTGCTGCATATTAGTGCCGCCTATCCGTGACACCTCATTAGTGCTGCCTATCAGTGCCGCCTATCCGTGCCACCTCATTAGTACTGCCTATCAGTGCCCTTTCATATGGGTACAATGTTGCATGACCGCGCAATTGTCAATCAAAGTGCGGCAGCGCTGAAAGCTGAAAATTGGCCTGGTAAGGAAGCAGGTATAAGTGCCTGGTAGGCAAGTGGTTAAAACAGCAAGCTTCTGTGGAGACTTGGAACTAAACACACTCTTCAGCCACAGCACAAGTTTTGAGGAGACAAACCAGAAATATACAGAGACAGAGTTCTCTCATCAATCAGCAGCAGGAATAGTTAATTCTGAGAAGCTTGGGCTTTCCAAGATCTGTGTCACTCTGAGAATTAGAGAACAGGCTTTCTCATGACCTTTCTCCAGAGATGAACAGCAAATGCAGCAATATCAAAATCCCCTTTCATCCCAGAGTACTCACTGTTTCTGGATTGTCCTATAGATAGCATTAGACAGCAGTAGAAATCCTCTCTCTTTGAGCAGCTCCGGACTTTGAGAGACACATGCACTTGAGTGGCTTTAATCCTGAGTGTCAGGCAGGACAATCCTTAGTTTGCACACTGTGCTTCTGCAACAATTTCTCTGCTACACACTCCCAGCCCAGTCCATGGGCTCTAGCAGCACAGAGAGTGAGACTCTGTGACTTCACACCAGAAGTCCTTGCTCCATGCAGTCCCCTGAAAATGTCTGCTTCCCCACATGTGCTTCTTCTTCCTTTTTCCTCTCTCCTTTCCTCCACAGCAAATCATAAGTCCAGCTGCAACAGTGCTGCTATGGGTGGATCCTTCTCAGCTGTAGCAACAACCAATCAGAGCACAGTCCTGCTTTTCCTGTCTGTCACTCACAAAGAGGGAAAAGAAAAAAATGCTTTGCAACTGTTGTTTAAAATTTAAAGCAACCAGCACATCTCTACAGTAGTATAGTGTAGTATAGTAGTAGCCCCCTCTAGCAGTCTCTATTCTCTGACCATTTCCACTGGCATATATGAAGTCTCCAATGAAGTTCTGTGGAATTCAACAGTCGATCACAGCCCTAATTGGCATTACATATACTGAATACTGAAATTAAAAAATACCTCTACCAAAGGCCTGCACCTGAGGGACCCTTATCTATTAGGTACACCACCAAAGTAATTTTTTCAAAAGAGAGAAGAAAATAATTGTTGATCTGCCCAAACTCCACCTCTAGTTTGACTATGTCATTACAAGCCAGCCAACTGATAACAAATCTAAAGGCGCTCACACAGTAGCATCTCCCTTAAAGGGTAAGTGCACTCTGTTGAGGAAAACGTGACCTCTTAAAACCCCTTTCCCCATTTATGCCCTACTTACGACATGTCACAGCCCCAAACCCACCGTTCTATCCCATACATTTTAGAGGAGAATTAGGAGGATGGTGTGGCACCAGGGGCGGACTGACAACTCATGGGGCCCTCGGGCAATAGGGGATCATGGGGCCCCTGTGTCCTTGCCCAAACTCAAAAAAGCCTATGAAAAAGGTACAAGGGGCATCTCATGGGGCCCCCTACTGACTCCCTGGGCAATAGGGGATCATGGGGCCCCTGTGTCCTTGCCCAAACTCAAAAAAGCCTATGAAAATGGTACCAGGGGCATCTCATGGGGCCCCCTACTGATCCCAGGCCCTCGGGCAGTGCCCAAGTTTCAAAATGGTCAGTCCACCCCTGTGTGGCACAAAATACTAACGTGATGATCTCAACCAGAGACCAATTTGTCTAGCTGAGAGGATTGTGGGGCACAATATACCAATGTGATGATCTCTGTTCAGAGACCAAATTGTCCCACTGAAATTTATCTATAGAATAAATTACAATCCTCAGAGATGACCTCATATGGAATCTCCTATTTGTAACAAATGACGCGAAGGAGCAGGAGGAAGGCTTTTTTTTAACATATGGTATGGAGCTGTCCCTGTGTCCTGAACTATTGTTGTCAAGTGGTTGCTAAACTAGCAGCAGTGTCAGGTCTACCCTTTACATAAAACCAGCTTGTACTTTTACTGGGTATCCAAGATGACCTCACAGTACAAAAAGCACGTTAAGCTCTTTCAGTTCTATGTGCCCTACTGCGCTAGATGGGAGACACTTCTTAAGCAAAAGTTCTCACCCCCTCCTTTTTACAGGGACTGGTATGCAGCTATCCAAAACATGCTTTTCATGCAACAATTGCCATATATAGTAGGTACTGTCCTATTGTCCCTAAATATGGTCCGCATTACTAAATTCAATGTACACATAACACCCCTCGTTCATCCTTCATTCCACCATATATCCTCTCCTTTTTGTCTACACTTCCATTTTTCTTTCCCACTGTCTTGAACTATATCTTTATTGGATAACACCTGCATATACTGTATATATTGCTACTAAATGATTATCACCATTACAGCTGAATATGTGCTTTGTGTTATTGAAGACCACTGTCATGTTCCTGGAGATAGTGATGGCCACATTAAGAATGATGTGCCATCACCTGCACTCTGGTCAAAGTAACATATACTTCAGACTGGGTGACACCAGAGGTGATCCCATGAGTCTGGATCTGGAAAGCATTCTGCAGCTAACACATTACCTAGTCTAGGGAAGCACAATTGGAAGAGCCAGGATGCACAAAGGACACTTTCCAAGCAGGTCCCACATTCTTTTGTCCAGCAGGGACCAGGAACAGCCTCTAAGGCAACACCAAGGATTAGCTGACCCAGATAGCTGCATAGAGAGGCCAGTTCAGCAGGGTGTACATGATATCTTGATTGAAGAAAAAATATTAACAAAAAATCAATACATGGATTGAAATTCAGCCAGTTCAGAAGGGACCAGCCCCAGATGATCCACATTGGCTTACAATTGATATGATCCGAAAATATTTAGACAGTATAAAGGTGAAAAAGCACCTGTACCAGATGGCATACACCCATGGGTCCTTAAAGAATTGAGCTCTGTCATTTCAAAGCCATTGTTTCAAATTTTTAGGGACTCTATAATGATTGGCACTGTACCACTGGATTGACATAAGTCCAATGTGATGCCAATATTTTTAAAAGGGGTCAACATCTTTACCAAGTAATTATAGACCTGTTAGTTTAACTTCTACAGTTGGAAAGATACTGGATAGTTTAATAAAAGACCACATGGATGAGTTCTTGCTGGAAAAAAATATTTTAAGCAACAGACAGCATGGATTCATGAAAGACAGAAGTTGTCAAACAAATCTGATTTCTTTTTATGAGGAGATGAGCAAAACCTTGGACAGAGGGGTGGCGGTGGACGTGGTATACTTGGATTTTGTAAAAGCGTATGACACAGTTCCCCACACATGGCTAATGTGTAAGGTAAAATCTACAGGCTTGGAAAAATCTGTATGTAAATGGATAGAAAACTGTCTAAAAGATCGTATTCAGAGCAGGGGCGGACTGACAACTCATGGGGCCCCCGGGCAATAGGGGATCATGGGGCCCCAGTGTCATTGCCCAAACGCAAAAAAGCCTATGAAAAAGGTACCAGGGGCATCTCATGGGGCCCCCCACTGACCCCGGGCACTTGGGTAGTGCCCGATTTTACAAATGGTCAGTCTGCCCCGATTCAGAGAGTAGTGGTTAATGATTCATACTCTGAATGGTCTAGGGTTGTCAGTGGTGTACCCCAAGGTTCAGTGTTGGGACCCTTACTTTTTAATATATTTATAAACAATATAGGGGTCTGGGATTAAAAATACCATTTCAGTCTTTGCAGATGACACCAAGATGTGCAGTAGAATAACGTTCTTACAGGATGTCTCCAATTTACAAGCCGACCTCAATGCACTGTTTAATTGGGCAACTATGTGGCAAATGAGGTTTAATGTTGATAAATGTAAAGTTATGCACTTGTGGGCTAAGAATATGCATGCATCATACATACTAGGGGGAATACAACTGGGGGAATCATGGTGGAGAAGGATCTGGGAGTTCTGGTAGATCACAAGCTTAATAATGGCATACAATGCCAAACTGCGGTTTCTAAAGCGAGCAAAATCCTCTCTTGTATTAAAAAAGGTATAGACTCCAGAGAGAGAGATATAATTTTACCCCTACAAATCATAAATCATCAGTGCCCTGATGATCAGTGCCCAGCAGTGCCAGTCACCACCAGTGCCGCCCACAAGTGCCCAGCAGTGCCGCCCACCTGTGCCCAGCAGTGCCACCCACCTGTGCCCAGCAGTGCCACCCATCAGTGTCCAGCAGTGCCACCCATCAGTGTCGCCCATTAGTGCTGCCCAGCAGTGCCACCCATCAATGCCCAGCAGTGCCCAGCAGTGCCGCAAGTCAGTGCCCCAGCAGTGCCGCCAGTCAGTGCCCACCAATTAGTGCTGCCTATCAGTGCCCATTGTGATAATTGTGCGGATAGATATAGACGCTGACAACCATATTTGTATCATACTCTACAATTATCATTCTCACTCTGTCCAGTCCCCCCTCCCTCTTTGAATGGAATGTGGTCTGTGCGTGTGTGCACTGGGGGGTCACAAGTGCATAAGGCACAGCTGGATAAGCTTCATGGTAGTAACCCCAATTAAGCCTGGTGCCAGAGGGTCTGACAAACACTTTCATCTGCCCAGTCGTAAAACTATAACTCAGTCGGTCACTTGACATGTAAGCCTTACCTCAGAGTGGCCATAAAACGTACATTTCACCCGAGTCACTTTCATACAAATTCATAAACTTCAACAGGAACAGGGCACATTAAAATAGCATATATTCAAATAGGTC